GATGGGAGCTGGCATAAAGCTGTAGGGACCCAGAAACCTCCCAGTCGACGTCCCCGTTGCGCTACCGAGCAAAGACCGAGCGACAGAGCTGATGGGGAATGCTCGGTTCCTCGTCCGTGCCCTGCCCTCACTTTTCAGAGCCCGCCGCCCATACGGTCGACCCTGGCTTTTTGCCCACGCAGAGGAGCCTGTGAGCTGCGGAACAAGATCTTCACGTGGCTGCGAGCCACAGGTGGAAAGTCCAGGGGAGCGGGAACCTCCCACAGCTCTACCGTAGCATGGAAAGAGGCCAAGTCGGCATCTGGGGCCAGGGAAAGTCAGGTCGCTAAGCAGTCCTACCAGCTTGCTTTCCCCCAAAAGGCATTACGCCACGGCCCCCCAGGCCGAATCGGGGCTAGCATTGGCCACACGATGATTTTGCTGTGAGCCAGAACCACCTGCGAGCCTACGTGGCTGCAGAGCCACAGGTTGGCCAGAGACACCAAACCTTCAGCATGAAAGTAGGAGCCTACTCTTCTCCCAAATGATGGATCGGGTCAGGAATATGTTTTTCTCAGAAAACAAACGACATCTTCTCCCCAAGTACCGCCTGCGAACCTCTACCGCTGAAGCACACAGGGTTTTGAGGTTACATTTATACTTACAGGGATGCTGGCTGTTCCACCAGCCCCAAACCTTGCTCCAGCATCAAAGCCACCTTCAACAAGGACTGTCGAGCCCGGAGGATAAACCGGTCCCACGGGGTAATACGCCATCGGGACCGACGAGCCGATCGGACCCATGGCCACAGACTGGGCCATGGGCAGGAAGATGGAAGCGCCCGGATACGCCGCAGACATTGTAGGTACGGTGGCTGCTCCAAGAGGCACGAAGCTGGGACGGTAAAGCTGGGAAAAAAAAAGCCAGGCAAGGAAGTTTAGAGCCTTGTTATTCCCCACACCCAGGTGTTTATTCAGTGCTGTCAAAGCACTAGCCCCGACGTAGACTTTCACCCTCCTGCTTGCACGAGGCAATTCCCTTCCCTGAGCGTTTACTTTGGGGTATAAAGACATTTTTCCCCACTGTTGGAGACAGTTCTCCCCACCGCCTGCAAGAATCCAGCAAAGAAAGATTATCGTAGATGTGTTTTACAGCTACAGCCGAGCTAAATTTGTCATCTTAAGTCAAGGGGAAGCTTCCAACGGTTGTCACTTCAAGCGGACGATTCAGATCTCGTAAAAGAAAAGCTGGGGAGTGACCACTGCCCAGGGATACGAGCAGCAAACAAGTCCTCCAGGCAATTAAAAAAAAAAAAAATATAGCAGCTATAAACTTGTTCAGAGATTTATTAGTTTTTTTTTCCTCTTTGGGAGAGGCCCCAGGAGAAAATAAAACCTTCAGCGA